TTCATGTGGATATGTCACCAGTTAAAAATGAGTTTAAAATAAAATGTAAGAGAAAAGGATGAAAGTTTGTCACTAGAAGTTTTGAGAACTTTCAAGACTCATGAAAACCTCAATAGCTAATGTATCTTTCATTCACTTATTGCTTTGTGGGCTGGCCCTTTATACACAAAATCTTCTGTTCATATTCATTTAAACAAGCTTAATCTTAGCGTAAATGGGCCTTATATTAGGCCTATTAAAAGACGAAGAAAAGAACTTAACTGTCTTGATATAAAAATCACAAATAAATAATTATCCATTCACAAATCCTTAAAAAAACCAGACAAGCTCGTACAACGTCACATTCACATAAAGTTTATTACAAGAAATTCTAGTGGCTCAGACAAGACAGGTGTCAACATCTCAACCGAAATTTAGGCAGTGAGAGAGTGAAGTCCGAAGCGGTGGTGATGCCACCTGTCATCTCCTTCAAATCAATTCCTCTCTCTCTCGTCTTCACTCTTTAGTCAAGAAACAAAATTTGATCTTTCAATCGAAATGAGTTCAACTCTGTTTTGCTATTCAATCAATCAACCTCCAACAAAGCTCGATTTCACGAGGACCCATTTACTTGCTCCCGTCTGTAAACACTTGTACTTAGACTTACCATCCTTCACCGGAAAATTAAAGAGCCGTCGGAGTTTGGTCGGAGTAAAGGCGGCGACTTTATCAGTGGAGGATGATCAGAAGAATAAGAAGAAGAAGAAACCAAAGGTTCTGGTGGCGGGAGGTGGAATCGGAGGATTAGTGTTTGCTCTAGCGGCGAAGAAGAAAGGGTTCGAAGTGTTGGTGTTCGAGAAGGATTTGAGCGCTATAAGAGGAGAAGGACAGTACAGAGGTCCGATTCAGATACAGAGCAATGCTTTAGCTGCTTTGGAAGCTATTGATATCTCTGTTGCTGAACAAGTTATGGAAGCTGGTTGTATTACTGGTGATCGGATTAATGGTCTTGTTGACGGTGTCTCTGGTACTTGGTAAGCACAAGAGTTGAGAAAAGCTGTTTTTTTTTTTTTTTTGATAGATTTGAGTCTATAGAAATGTGATATGATTAAGAGAGTATTGAATCAATTTTAGGTATGTAAAGTTTGATACTTTCACTCCTGCGGTGTCAAGGGGACTTCCTGTGACTCGTGTGATTAGTAGAATGACTCTGCAGCAGATCTTGGCACGTGCCGTTGGAGAAGATGTGATTAGAAACGAGAGTAATGTTGTTGATTTTAAAGACTCTGGAAACAAGGTGACTTATTGGTGTTTACTTAATAGTTATTGATTGGTTAAAAATGTGTTTTAAGGGGAAGCTTCAGTGATGGTGAGTTTGTTGGTGTTTAGGTCACTGTGGTGCTTGAGAATGGACAACGCTATGAAGGTGATTTGCTTGTGGGTGCAGATGGCATATGGTCTAAAGTAAGTGAATAGAAGTTTAATGAATAGCTTCTATTGCCTTAAGGATAAAAGTTATTGTTTTTGTTTTATAGGTGAGGACTAACTTGTTTGGCAGAAGTGAAGCTACTTATTCAGGCTACACTTGTTATACCGGCATTGCAGATTTTGTACCACCTGATATTGAGTCTGTTGGGTATGTTACCCTCATGCATCTCTTGTTTTTTTATGATGAATATTTTTCTGATATTAGACTTGTTTTGTCTCTTGAAAAAAAGCTACCGGGTTTTCTTGGGATACAAGCAATACTTTGTTTCTTCAGATGTTGGTGGTGGAAAAATGCAATGGTATGCATTTCACGAGGAACCTGCTGGTGGGGTTGATGCTCCCAATGGTATTATACATTCTCTACATTGATTTGATTTGCATTTAGTTTAAAAATCACATAAGCTTCTTTTGGTTTTTGCAGGTATGAAGAAGAGATTGTTTGAGATATTTGAAGGTTGGTGCGACAATGTACTAGACTTATTGGATGCAACAGAGGAGGAAGCGATTCTGAGAAGAGATATCTATGATAGAACTCCTAGTTTCACTTGGGGTAAAGGGCGTGTTACTCTGCTTGGGGATTCTATTCATGCGATGCAGCCAAATATGGGGCAAGGTGGATGTATGGCCATTGAGGATAGTTATCAATTAGCATGGGAGCTTGAAGAAGCGTGGAAACAGAGTGTTACAACTAGTAGGCGTGTTGATATTGTTTCCTCTTTGAAAAGGTATTTTAACTAAACACACAGTTATTTTTAGTTTTGGGATTCTAATAAGTACTTAAACATGATCTCTAGATATGAAGAATCTAGAAGACTAAGAGTGGCTATTATCCATGGAATGGCGAGAATGGCTGCTATTATGGCTTCTACTTACAAAGCTTACTTAGGTGTTGGGCTTGGTCCTCTCTCTGTGAGTATTTTTTTTTTTAATTAGTTTTCAATGATTAGATATACAAAGAGTATACACCAATTCTCATATCTTCTGTCTTTTGTAGTTCTTGGCCAAGTTTAGAGTACCACATCCTGGAATAATTGGTGGAAGATTCTTTATGGACATTACTATGCCTTTGATGCTTGACTGGGTCCTTGGTGGTAACAGGTTAGATCTTTTTTTCTCTGTATTCATCTACACAGACCTTAAAAGTTTTTAGATCTTAGTAACTCATTGTACATGTTTTTGTAGTGAAAAACTTGAAGGAAGGTCACCTAGTTGCAGACTCACTGACAGAGTATGTGTTTCTTTTCTTTTCTCCATTAGCACTTGAACAAAACCATTTAGTGATTTAATATCAAAAGTGCAACTCTCTTTGGTTTGAAAGGCTGATGACCGCCTTCGTGAGTGGTTTGTAGACGACGAGGCTCTTGAACGTACTATTAATGGAGAGTGGTATCTTATTCCATATGGCAACAAGTGTAGCGTTTTGGAAACATTATGTCTAACCAAAGATAAGGATCAACCTTGCATTATCGGGTATGGAAACACGAAAACTCGCTCATTAATGTAATGCCTTAGCTAAAGTTCTTAAAGAGTTTCGAAACTCTGTTTGATTGCAGAAGTAAACCAGACCAAGATGTTCCTGGAACGCACATTGTGATCCGTTCCCCTCAGGTATATAGAAAACTCTGTATCTGATGAGAACCAAACTAGTGATGAAACTTAAAAACACTTGTCCAATGTTTGGTTTAGGTATCGAAGATGCATGCACGTGTAATCTACAAAGATGGAGCTTTCTTCTTGATGGATCTTCGAAGCGAACATGGGACCTATGTTACCGAGTAAGTCAACAGAGAGAACTTTGGTTTTATCTCATTTTGAATCTGTGAAGTTATTATGATCTAAACACTATATTTGAAATATTGTTAACCAGTAACTTAGGAAGAAGATATAGAGTGACGCCAAACTTCCCTGCCCGGTTTAGACCATCAGATATCATCGAGTTTGGTTCAGACAAGAAGGTGAGAGTGAGACACCACTTATTACCAATTCTTGATTTAGTTTAAACCGGACTTTTTTTGGTTCTGAGAAATTCCGGTTTGGTTCTTTATAAGGCGGCGTTTAAGGTCAAGGTGATCAGGACAACTCCTAAGTTGACCACAAGGGATGAGAAGAGTGACGGTAAATTGCTTAAGGCAGCTTGACTGACACTTTAAAGTTAACCAACGGTGAAATTAATTATTTTTACCAGTCTAGCAGATCATTTGTGTAGAGTATTAATGTATTACTTGTATTGCAATGTATATATAGGGCTGAACACAAAGATAATTACTTAGAGCATCTCCAAAAGAAACTCTATAACTTCAAATATAGAGTTTTTTGCTCTCCAAAAAGAAACTTCAAAACTTCAAATTTGAAGTTTTTAAGAGTGAAACTCTATATTTGAAGTTTCAATACTTAAAACTCTAAATTTGAAGTTTCATCTTTTTAATTGCATTTTGGTCCTTACAATTACAAATAAAAATTAGAATTCATAAATATTTTTTGTTTATTGGTTTAATCCATAAATTTTATTAAATCTTATAAATATTTCAAATTAAACTTTACCTTTTATAAATTTAAGTTTTAGACATAAAACTAAATAAATATTTATAATAAAATTTAAAATAGTTGTTTGTAGTTTAGTATTTTTAAATATTTTAAAATTAAAATTAGACAACAAAAATGTGGTATTCTATTTGTAATAATCATGTATTTGTATTTATAATTTTATATTTTAGGGTAAGATTATATTAATTAATATTTTTGTATAATTTATATATATGTGTATGTTATTTATCAATGTCTTATGAAGTTATATTAACTATGGAAAATATAAGGATCAAAATGTAAAATAGAAATAATTTTGAAGTTAGATTTGAAGTTTTTCTTTTGGAGAAGAATACCTTGAAACTTCAAATATAGAGTTTTGAAAACTTTAAAATAGAGAGTCTTTTTGGAGATGGTCAGAACGTTTCTCTTTGTTTTAAATACATATATACGTGCTTCAAGGGAGATAGATGATTTTCATGATTATGTTTCAGAAAATGAAGACTTTGAGAGATGAGGAACAAGCAAAAGATATGACGAACTCGCATGTGATGGGATGGGGAACGTAAGAATAATCAATTCTCGAACGTTTACAACATAGGGTCTATTAAGTTTGAACTAAATCGTTAAATTATTATTTGTTTTTAGAGTAGTCACTAATTTATTAATTTAAACTACCCATGATGAGTCTTGTATAATTAAAAACAAAAATTTATTTTAATAATATTAAATTTATATGTTATATTAAAATTTATTTAGTTTTTTATTTGTCATATTTTTATTAGGTTTTAGACTTTAGATAGTTTTTATTTATCATTAGTGTCTAAGTGATTTACTGAATTTATATATAATTAAAAAGAATTTTATTTTAATAATATAAAGTTTATATGTTAAATATTGAAGACTAATAAACATTGCTTTAGGCCCAAATCACTTTTATATATACAGGCAACGCAGCTAGGGTTTCAACGCTGAAGCACCGTAAAAAGTTTTTGAGAGGAGGCAGAGCAATGTACCCGAGGACGAAGCCATGTGGGGGTAGACGACCACGTCCCTCTACTTTTCGGCGTAAAAAGAAGAGGGGGCTGTCCAATCTTTTGCCCGCCGGCCGAGAACTCCGATTTAAGAGATTTTTGAGGAAGGTAATTATATATTTTTTTCATATTTTATATCTCTATAAAACGCGCTTCATTTGATTTTTGATTCTTTTAAATTACAGAAAAAGTCGACACTTGCTACTACTTGCACCATACCCTGTCTGCATGGTCCTCCTTTGGTGATGAAGGTTATTTACTTTTAGTATTGATGAGAAATTTATATTTTGATTCTTACATACATTATTGTTATTCATTGATTTGATTCTTAATTACAGGAAATGTCATCACTTACTATTTCCACCAATCCCTGTCTTGATGCTCCTTTGGTAAAGTTTATTTACATTTAGTATTGAGAAATTTATATGGCATCTTAACACGGCTTTTTTACTTAATTCATTGATTTTGATTCTTAATTACAGAAAATGTCATCACCTCACGATGTTACTACCACCACCACCACCATGCCTCAGTCGCCATCAAGGTATATGTATACACAATCATGTTATCATCTCTCTAATAATGTTAATTCGTCTTATATATCAATTAATTAGCACTAGTTATGTCGATTATTTCCTTGCTCGTATATTTACGCTGTAATGTTTTTGTACCTGACACAGCGTAGCTCAGCTCAGCTCCGATCAATTTTAGAGATGCGATTCCTCCATAAGCGGCATCTTGATGATCAACAGCAAAACCTACTCCAGTTCTTATAACTATATTATTCCAATATTTTGTAACTTCAAAAAAAAACCGACTTTTGAAAAATAAAAAAACTTTTCCTATGTGATATTGATAAATCTTTTGTAATGATTTAGTCGTTTTCTTGTATTATTTTATACAATTGGCTATTTTACAAGATAAGATGGTCTTCTAATTAACACATGGTACAATGAAAATGAAAGTCTAACCATCAACAAGACTCATTAGTGAGGGGTGCTTTTGAAATGTATTGTAAACATTACTTATCCACGATTAAAACATTTCTTTATCACAATTTTTTGGTCCAAAAACTATAACGGACACATTCCTCACAAAGAAGAAAACTAGATAAACGACCCCATCACCAGCTTGGCCTATAAAATGCAGCTCCTTCTTGCACTGTTTAATCGCAATTCTACTATCCAGCTCTGAAGCAGGGAGGAACGTACCTGAGAAGCCCACCAGAGGTCCTAGGCAACAATATGCTTGAAGCCCCTGTCTATCTATCTTCTGCTACCATTACGCTCTATGGGATTCAGTAACTAAATTTTTGTTTCCATATATATATATTACTTTGGAATTACCAATGATAGGACCTTGTTGAACAATGAAGTTTTTACTTCCAATAAAGTGAAATATTCAAAAACCAAAACGCCAATTACTCTAAGTCCCTTCA